TTATATGTTTAACTCTTACAAAAGCTGAAGATAGGATTTATAATTTAAGATCTTCAGCTGAGAGCGTAAAGTAAATGTTAATGCTATTTATGGTTTTAAAAAATAGCAAGTATTCAGACTAGTGATTTAGTATCTGTTACTTAAGATGAGTATTTTAATTATGGCCACAAGGCTGGGGTTTTTTATACGTACATATATATAATATGATAATTATTAAATCCTTTTGCTTTAAAAAAATAATACGGGCACTGAAATCCTAAAGTAAAATTCAGTGAACCAATCTTTTAAAAGAAAAGCAATTGTGTTGTAATTTTTTGTTGCCTTGCCACTTTGAGTATCTCATCTGAAAATCTGTTCCTTGCCATGTTTTTCTCCTGTAACATAAACTATGTGCCCTGTGAATTTCCGGGGACTGAATTTGAAATTGCTCCTGCCAACCGTTTGTGGCCTGGCGTGTATCTGAATGCCCGAATATCTCCCCGCTGAATGAATTTCGTATTCTGACCTGAATTCACTCGGGTTTATTGATTGGCTGGACGATCTTGGTGCCGTTCCAGAAGAGTCTTCGAAGGAAAAGATCCAGGAGTGTAGAGGATGATGAGGAGGGTCACCTGATCTGTCAGAGTGGAGACGTACTAAGTGCAAGATGTATAGAAAACTTTTCAAAATTTATTAACTTTTCAGCTAGAATAAGTTCTTTTAGCTTAAGATGTGAGGGGGCTTTGGAAGTCTTTTCTTTCTGTCTTGACTTTTTTTTTGTTTGGGGGTGGGGATTGTTATTCTTTTTGTGTAGAACTTAAAATATGTTTCTTTTTTCCTTTTCCTTTTTTTCCCCCCCCCAAATAGTAAATGAAGTTAATGAACCTACTAGAATGAGATCTCTGTAAATGTGCCTTAATGAGAGCTGTGCAGTAACATCTCTCAAACTAGATATTTACAATTTAGAGAAGAACAGTCTAGAATAATCTTCAGTGATAGTACTTAGTCTTTTTGTTTGGTTGGTTTATTTTTGTTTGGTTTTGTTTTTTAATATCTGAGTAACTTTACAGCTTCTGTGACTGAGAGTTCTTTTCTTTATAGATGAGATTGTTGCTACTTTGGGTGAAGGTGCTTTTGGAAAAGTAGTGGAGTGCATCGATCACAAAGCGTAAGTCTGTTTCATTAAATACATATAATTTTTCTTACTATCACGGTGTGGTTGGGGAAATGCTTTCTGATTGTATTGGGTTTTATCTTCCCTTCCTCCTGCACCGCTCTCTGTTTCTTCAGGGCTGCCACGTGTGGCCAAACACAAGTGTCTGTTAGTGCCTCCTGCTGAAGAGGAGGGTTGTGTGGGGCTGGTGGATGGGGAGATGGGGGCATCTTCTGCAGACACCCCCCAGCCTCGCAGGGGTCAAGGGACCGTGGGGAGAGGTGGCCTAGACAATGTGGGGTGAAGCTGTACCCCCACACACTGGGCAGTCCTGGGGCCTGGACCACCCCAGGTCAGTATAAAGAGCGGGGTCTCTGACGTCCTGTAGCTTACCTTTAAAGTATCGTCTGTGACCATGCAGTGCCCTTTGGCGTCTAGCAGTGAGTATATTACAAACCAAGAACATGTTTTGGGTTTGATGGCAAACTGTGCAAAAATAGTGTGAAACTAGATTGTCTTTCTAGTCACTGTAGAAGGCTTCTGACGCCTCGGTTACATTTTTACCACTTAAAGGCCTGAAGGTGGCCTGTTGTTTTTGAGCAATGCTCGTGTTAGGCTGCGAGATGTAGTGTTAGCCCAGCATTCATAAATATAAAGGGAAGGTAAATGGCACTTTTAAGAGTAATACTGCTATATAAGGTATCAAGTACGTTTTCAAAAATCTAAAGGTTAAATTTTAATTGTGTTTGTGCGTAGATGTATCTTGGTTACATTAAGTATGTATTTAAAAAAAGACCTTTTCTGATAAGGTTACCATTTTTAATAAACAATCTGTATGGTGATTGATAGTTACTGAATATTCTTACTTAAAACTTATCAATTATCTAATCGCTGTTAAAACCTGTCTTTACAGGGAAGACAGACATGTTGCTGTGAAAATAGTAAAAAATGTTGACAGGTACTCTGAGGCAGCTCGTGCAGAAATACAAGTCCTGGCACATTTAAATGCATCAGATCCCAACAGTACATAGTAAGTGTTGGAAGCCAACCGTGCTTTGTTTTGCCTTTAAGGTTTCTATGACGTGGCTTTCTGTAACACACAATTTATGTATCTGAGCGTTATCCAGCTCCCTGTTGCAATCTGTGTCTTTCCCTGCTTTTGCAGTCGCTGTGTCCAGATGTTAGAGTGGTTTGAGTACCACGGACACGTCTGCATTGTTTTTGAGCTGCTGGGGCTCAGCACCTACGACTTCATTAAAGAGAATGGCTTCCAGCCATTTAGGCTGGACCACATCAGACAGATGGCCTATCAGATCTGCAAATCTGTGAACTGTAAGTATGTTTCTTTTTTGCTTTATTCGTTAAATTTTCTTGGCAGAATGTGCTTACTGTGTGTTACCTTGCAGTTCTGCATTTGAACAAATTGACACATACAGATCTGAAGCCAGAAAACATTTTGTTTGTGAGGTCTGACTATGTGGAAGAGTACAACCCCAAACTGGTGAGTTTCTGTCCCCTCCCCGCCTCCCCCTCAGCCCAGCCTCTGGCTTTATTTGGTCACTTGCATCCCCATTCATTTCAGAAATGCGACGAACGCACGCTGAAAAATCCAGACATCAAAGTTGTGGACTTTGGGAGTGCAACGTACGATGATGAATATCATAGCACTCTGGTGTCTACGAGACATTACAGAGCTCCTGAAGTTATCCTGGGTCAGTAGATCACTCTTAGACTGAGCTTTCACCTGAGATTGATTGTGTGCTGTGAAGTGTTGGGTGTTTTGCTCCAGCTGTTGAACCGTTTGCGGTCTGTTATGAACGTGTACCTTCTGATTCTTTTCACAGCACTGGGATGGTCACAACCCTGCGATGTTTGGAGCATCGGGTGTATTCTCATAGAATACTACCTTGGATTCACAGTGTTTCCGGTAGGTAGGTAGCTGCCAACCTCAGAACGACACAGCGTGTGTGTAGTGCTCCCCAACTTAGTGAAAGTTTGCTACAGAGCATTGGGGACTAAGGGGAACTACCTCTAGTGGATTGTAACTTATTTTGGGAAGCAGGTGGCTACAGCCACTCTGGTTTCCTAAATCTGAAATTGATGATGGGTTGGTGGGTCTGGTCAGAAATGAAGGCAGGTCAGTGTGTGGGTCTTGTTCGCTTCCTCGATGAACAAAACTGTCTTTTCCCTCCAGACCCATGACAGCAAAGAACACCTGGCAATGATGGAGCGAATACTGGGGCCTTTGCCAGAGCACATGATAAAGAAAACCAGGTAACTACATTTTTCCATACTGGGACTGCTATAGTTTAACGTAAATACTGTTAGATTTGCTTTAATGACAAATTTTTACAAAAAGTTTAATAGATTTGTATAAAAGGTATGCAGTTGCAATGCTTCTGGTTTGCTTTCAAACTGCATTGGTTTAGCTTTATGTTATAATCTAAACTCCAGTCTCTGTATGCTTGTCTCTTTGCTTATATATAGCTTTTAATAATTTTATTATTCATTAAATATTAATTAAATTAATAACAATTTTGATTTCATAATAATTTTAATCTGAACATTGAAATAAAAATACCTTACAGAGACTTAATTTGAAAGTATTTAAGTTATCTCGTAACTCAAAAATGCATTCATAAATGCGTTATGTAAATACAGGTAGAACTGTGATACAGACATTTTAACGGGGTGTTTTAAATAATGCTATGAAACAACATAGATGTATAATGTTATTTAATTCTTTTAAAAAGCGATAATGGTTGTGTGTGAACAGGATTTATTTTACATGATTTTCATTGCGTTCCTGATTATAATACAGATCAGGGATTGCACTTTTATTGTAAAAAAACATTTTGGGTTTTGCATAAAACTGGTCTGACAGAAACTAGAACATCACCCTGTTGCTCTGTTTAACAAGCAAAAGGCCACTCTCAGGGAACATTTGCAGCTCAGTTCTCAAGTTGTGAACAAACGTGCTGATAAACTTGTAGCTAAGGGACAAAACAGAATCTCCCAGTAACAACCCACGCTCTGTTTGTTTAAGGAAACGTAAGTATTTCGTTAAAGACCGGCTGAAATGGGATGAACACAGTTCTGCGGGGAGATACGTCTCAAGGCGCTGTAAGCCACTGAAGGTAAGATGACAGAAGGGAAACTGTTCTGGGGAGAGAAGCTTTAAGTACAATTACAAGATTAAAAAAAACATGTTTTGTTCAAGATTAAGAATTACAAGATTAAAAAAAACATGTTTTGTTGTTTTCTTCATGAAGGAATTCATGACCTGCCATGACTCTGACCACGAGAACCTTTTTGACCTCATTGAGAAGATGCTGGAGTATGACCCAGCCAAGCGCATTACTCTTGAGGAAGCGCTAAAACATCCTTTCTTCTTCCCGCTGAAAGAGGAAAAATAGGGCACTGCCGCCTGTAGCTGAGCAGGCAGACACAGGGGTCAATCCACTAAAGAAACATAAAAAGTGTTAGTGTATTTATTGTACAGTTATTTTGTAAATGCCTTATTTTGTATTGTGACTTTTTGGATACTGAAGTTTAATCCAGCTACCGACATAAAACTTATTTAAGAAAAAGGTACTGATGGACCTGGTCGTGTTTCCTCTGTAAGTAAAAAGCTCGGGACACTTTGACTTCTAACATGTGGAAAAGATCACCATCTACTATATAAAATATGCTTCCTAACAGGCAAGAAAGTATTTTAATTAAGCTGTTATTATTTTAATTAAGTTATTATCTTAATTAAGCTGTTATTATTCTAATTGTTTTACTTAACTGTCATTGGACTGATTTTTACCCTTTAGCATGACTGATGCTTCCTTTTCGGCTAAGAGAAGAGAGACAGCCCTTGACATTAAGTGTAAGGATGGCCTTTATTTGTTTAAAAAAAAAGTTACAAAGTAAGGAAGATGACTGTAGTATCGAACAGATGGCATTGTGATCACCCATTTAAATTTTTCTTTTTACATTTTAGTAGGTGTACTCTGGTTACCAGTATTTCAGTTAATGTTCATTATTAGCTTACAACTATATAGACTTCACTCTTACCCAATCTTTCTTGAATTACAAGCTGTCCTGAGAATTTCCATCAGGAATTCCAAGTTTCAGGGAGCAGACGAGCTGTTTGGTTTGACACGCCAACTGCCAGCATAAAATAACCCCGCAGCGTCAGAGGGAGAGGGGAGGGTTTTTCCACCTCACCTGAGCAGCGGGACCTCTCGTCCGTGAGAGACCCCCCACCAGTGACCCCTGACTGCAGAGCAGGGGCAGGGGCCACCAGCTGGGACAGCCAGCGGGCTCAGAGGTGCCACTCCTCCTGCCCCACCAGTTACTCTTCAGTGCCACCAGAACAGCTTCTCTCCAGTAGGACACTGAGCTCCCAGGAGTGGGGCAGCCACCTCGCCCAGCAGCTGGGATAGAGGATTGCTTTATGCTGGAAGTAAAGAGACAATTAATTAAGTCCTCGGGGAGACAGACAACCACCGATGAATGGGGTTACGTGGAGCAAGTGGCAGGGACGGAAGTGAAACACCAAGTTACGACACAAGCCATGGCCTCTTCACTTTGGAGACTTTTTACAGTTTAATTTGCAAACGGAACTGCCATTCACCGTATCATGTCTACTCAAATAGAGATAGAAAACCCAAGGGGTAAAATGGATTTCATTGTGGAAGGCCTTAAATTACATTATTACAGTAGAAAATACAGGAGGTAGAATATAACTGAAAGGACAAATGCAGGTTAGAGTCAAATCTATAATAGCTCCTGTAAGCTACTTAAAACATGGTTTTAAAAACTAAACCCAGTATTCCAATAACTATAGAAAACAGTTAAAATAAATTGCCATGAGAGCCCTTATATCATGCTTGATACAGGGAGGTAGGATGTAAGAATCAGAAGGACACATGAGACATGACACATATGTACAGCTCCTGTTTGCTTTACTGAGGACAGTTTCACAGGTCAGTCACCCTCTTCAGCTTCAGACTCCGACTCTGGAACAGAGAGACCTCATCAACAGGCTGCCAGCAGCTCACACCCCTCTAGACCCCCCTTCAGCCCCTGCCCTGCACCCCAGGGAATGAGCAGCTGCCACTGGATCCACATGGATTGCTCCAGAAAGCTTGCGCTATTCCCGGGGGGCACAACTAGTCTCAGTGGGGCAATTAACACCCCACCCCCCAAACCAAAGCATTACTGCCCCAAGGTTCCCCAAACGAACAAGCTCAACTTGTGAGCTAAACTTCTGCTCACCTTCTTCAGCATTCTTGAGCCATTCAACAAACTTTTTCATTTGCTCCAGAAAAACACTCTTTCCTTTTGCAAGATGCGCATCCTTGTACCACTTGAGGATGGGTTCTTCACTCAGAACTTCAGCTGTAAGTTGTGCAAGAGCAGCATTAACACAGCAAACCCCTGAGCTCCCGAGAAGCCCTGACTGGCAGCCCCACCATACGTCCCCCTTCCCCAGCTGTGGCTGGACATCCCCCCACTGAGGGGGACCCCCAGTTTACAGCTCTGAGCAGCATCTCAGATGGGCCTCTGGGGGTTCCCAGACACTGCACTCTCAAGTGCCTCAGCCATTTGAGGTGACACCCTCTAAGGAAAGCTTCAGACAACTGCTAAGAGCAGATGCAAATTCTTTAAAGCCCAAAGTACACCACAGGAAGCATTCAATTAGTTTTTAAGTTTTACAAGTACAATATTATCTTCAGTTTAACAAGTTTCCTTGTGTTCCCTTAGTGTTTCCATGGGTGCACAGCATGTTTTTCAGTTACACCTTTTACCAGCCATTTAAGAGAGCCTAGAGCACCCCAGAACACCTTGGTGGCCTCAGCCTCTGGCTGTTCAGTCAGCGTTCAGACAGAACTATGAAGAATACACTATCGTGTCACCTTCCCTAACTTAAAAGGGCCAAAAAGCCCTAAAATCTCACTTTAGCTCTGATCTACCACAGCTCTTAAGATCTAGTAGACAAGGCAGTATTCTTGCCTAGAGGGGTACATCCTGAAGGACAGCCCCATCCACCTTTGCATTTTACTGCTCCACCTTTGAAAACAGAAGGTGGAAAATTCTTCAGCTCATAAAGTGCAATGTTGTAGCACTGACCTTCCCTAAAGATCTTATCAGGATCTGTAAATTATGTAAATACAGGCTCTAAAAATTCCAACCAAACAAAAAACACCCCTCCCCAACAAAACTCCAACCCCAGAGAAGTTACCTTTGTAGAAGAGCACCACTATTTTCTGGAAGGCCTTCATGAAGTGAATGTTGTCATAACAATACTCTTGAATCTTCAACAGAAGAGTCAGCTCTGACTGACCTTGGGTAGTAAAGGCAGCAAGTAGAGGGCTGTATTGCTGTAAGAGGAACAACACATTGGCACGGGCAGAGCACTTCACACCTACCGCCTGACCAGGCTGGTTTCACACAGTTTCCATCAGCCACCGCTTAGAAATTTCCACCCCCTGCCCCACCCCAGAGTGCTTCTGCACAAGTCGTACTGCTGTGGCCTCAGGAACTAGGACTGCAACACCACAGTTATAAGGAGAATTCCCTGTCCCACACCATCTCTGCATTGGGGGGGTTGTAGGTTTTTACTCATTTAAAGGGGAGCTGGAGCCCTACCCAATGGGTGCAGCAGCCCATGCTCCTGTTACCATACCTTCAAGTGCTTAATGGCTTGCTCTGCGACCAGCTCCTCCTTTTTGTTCCATTCCACTGTGCTCATGACACTTGACCAGATTATGGCTACCACGGTCTGCTCCGAGATGTTGTTTTTCTTCATCTCCTCCTTCACGTACAAGATTATCTGCCAGTGAGAACACAAGAGTCAGCAGACAGGCCACATATGACACTAAACTGAATTAAAACTTTTGTTCTAAAGGCAACCAAGGAGGTTTCAGAACCATAAGCAACCCCCTTGATCATACAGCAGGATTCAGGACATTAAGGAAAGACTACGAAGCTAATACTGAAACACCCAAGGGTCCTAATTTTAATTCTTGCTAAGAGTTAGGCGGTTAAGTTCAGTATTGAATTAGGCACAGAACTACAGATTAGTATTAGATGCTACTGTACTTTGGATAATTTGAACTAAGCTCCTACAGAAAAAAGAAAGGGGGAAAAAACCAAACCAACCACCTACACCTTGCCTACAGACAAATACTTACATCCTTGAACGGATCTCCCCGTGACATCTGCTCCTGAAGTTCCTTCTGCAGCTCCTTCCGAGCTCCTATGCTTTGCTGGTTCCGAACATACTCAGAAAGTTCCTTCAGTCCTGCTTCAGTGAAGTACTTGGAGAAGTGTTCAACACTCTGTTTGTTGGCTGGGAAGAGTTCCTGAAAACAAAGTTTACAACAACTCTTTTGCAAAAGAAACACATGTTGAATACTTTGCTGGTAAATGCTATTTACTAAACCGGCTTACATGTTTGGTCAGTAATTTCAGAGGTACTCACCATCAGCCTGTTATCCATGTTTACTTTACGAAGACTGACAGCCACTGCATTAATATCTTTCTCGTTTATCCATGATTTGAACAGCTTGACTGCAAAAGCTGCAGAAACGCCTGTGCAACAGGAATAGGAACATTATTACTGAAAACCAAACCAAAGGGAGCACAGGGCACCTTGTGTCCCTGACTCCTGCCCAGAGCAGCTGCAGCCGTGCCCAGAGGCAGCCCCAGCCAGCCTGCAGAAGCTCCTCTTGGAGACACTGCAGCTCCCAGCAAGCTGGACCTTCCTCATCATGAAGGCTTCCCTGTCCAACACTCAACTCTCCTTGCAGCAATTTAGGAAGGAACCTAAAGACATGACACACCTTCTGCACCCTGCAAGGTCCCGTCTCCAAAATACATTACTGCCTTGCTGGGCAGCACTAGTGATGGCACCCCCAGTGTCACACAGGGAAGCCCTGCACACGAGTTTTCTAAAAAGACTAGTTTTCTAATGTCTTAGCAAGACCTTCCATGTTGTAAGGCAGCGTGTTTACCTTTGCTAATCCTGGAAAGACTATCACCAGCTGAAACTAGTGAGCTGCACAGGTGTACTGCCATCTCCAGCTACTTGTCATGTTTTTGTCCCCCATCATCCTTCCCTAAAGGAGGAGCTGGGCAACACTTACCTTCTTTAACCAAGTTCTCGTTGTACAGACTGTTGAGAATCGATGCGTTCAGTGTCCCGTTGGCGAGCAGGATACCCGTCAACATGGCCAGCTTGTTCCGCTCAGACTCGGAGAACCCTTTCAGGAACAGCAGCAACTGCAAAAGGGAGTAAGAAGTGTTGCCATAAAAACAGCATCGCTCACTGGAGATTAGCTGCTGCCTCCACCTCACACTTTTGTTTCAATCAAGCTGTTCAAGTAGCAGAAGCACTAGGTCACTGGCAGTCTTCACCACTAGTCACACCAGCTGGCTGTTCTACTACTAACAACTTCAGTGTTCTATTTTAAAAATCCACTGCATAATATAACTCTTCTGTATAAAGTGATTAACTAGCAGAATTGGAAGGTTTATTTGTCTGCTGATAAGGACTGTACCTTTTTGACTTCATCTTCAAAGCCTTTCTCCAGGTACTTGTAACGCCTGATTAGCTTGTTAAAAACCTAAAAAGATAGAGAGTGTGTTATATTTGGTCTAAGCATTCATTTACTTAGATTTTTTTAAAAAAATCAAGTTTAGTAAGTTGGTCTGAACTCTTTAGAGCACTTTCACCTTAAAAAAGTGCTACTCCACCTCTTCTAGCAAGCTTCTTAAAGCCATGCATTATTTTAACCTAAACTTTCAACCACACAAACAATTCATTTTTGACCACTAAACAGTCTAAGTTAAATTATACTAATTTCAGAACTAACCTGAGCAAATGCTTGCATGGTTTCTAGGTCTTCCTGTGCTGCAAATACACAGACGTTTGTGCGTGTCATGTCATCTGCCAGGGTACCACCTGGGGCTAAAGAAGGGTTTCAGAATTAGTGCTATTACTCCCCAGTGAGAGTACCGAACAGTCTCCATAGTAAGAATTCCAATACCCATAATGTGCAACATGTTGTCCTTTCATGATGAACTGCATGACTGGATCACTGAAGACACCCCTACATTTCCATCTGCTCCACTGCTGTAGTGGAACTTTAGAATCGGTAGCTTATGACATGAACATTTAAATATTCTGACCCCCTACCGGTAACTGGATTGGCAACACACCTTCATTTACATATGGGTAAGTTAACATGACCACCAGACTCCTCTTCCCTTAAAGAAAGCCACCAAAGCTGCTTAATTCTAGCGAGTGTCTTTTTAGTGTCTGCTGCAATAGTGCTGCTTTCTAACTGTCTTAAGTAACACTGTCACAACAGGAGATGAAACACGTAGAGATACACATTCAAAATTCAGTGCCCCCGAGATGAGCTTGAAACTTCAGTCTTGAAAGGCACTTCAGACTTTTAGCTGCTAATTAGAAGATGCTTTTTCACCATTCGTCTTCAGTTTAACACAGGCATTTGACTGGTAGCCAGGCTGCCTCCCTCACTAGGGTCACTCCAAGTCACCAACTCCAGTGCCAGAATCCCTCACCCTGAGTTCTATGCCACCCTACGCATCAGGGAGACCCTTCTGTTATGTATTAGTCAGAAACATGACTTAAAAGATGGAGATCAGCAACAGTGGTAAGAATATTGAAAGGTGGTAAGGCAACGGGATGCCTGTTTTTATTTTGGCTAAAGATCAAAGCTAGTCTACCTCACTACTTGTTACCGAGGGGGAGGCGAGTAAAGGACCCCTATGCCACCATTAATTAATGCAGTGATGCATTTTCCCTTCCCTCTCAGCCTCACTCCTAGAAGGAACACTTCCTACCCGCGGCGGTTAGGACTCCTGAATGTAAACCCACGGACTGGAACAATTGATACGTTAACAATTTCAAGCAGTGATGCTCCACGTGGCAGACAAGTTTACTTACTCCTACTACCAGCTCTTGTAACATCAGCAAAAGAGCCTCTTGCCAAAAGGCTCACCACAGTAACTGCAGTCTACACAACACTGTTCCAGTACACAGCTCTGAGATAAGCAGGGACACTTCATGAAGTTAAACCATTTTGAAAGCCTTTTTCAGCATTTGCTTGAGCGAGTCACCTGACATTTCTACAGTACCAGTACGAAGACCACCTGAACGTGTACCTGCTGCACCCTCCCAAACCAGCCGCCCCGCTGCAGAACTGCCATCCACAGGCTGACTCTGGCCCAGAATCAGGTATTTCCTCTCTTCTCCCTATGCATTTAGGTCATTTGAATTTATTTCTGTTACATTACAGAAAATCTTCTGCAACTGCCAATTTCTCATTTAAGTCCTCCCCCCACCCCAACTATTGCGTAACAAATGCTGAAATCCAAGACAGACCTTTTCCAGTCTAGGGAGACAATGTAAGGGGTCCCTTTCATGGCCTGCATTTTATAAGGCTCCCTTACATCTGACCCTTTCTCACTGAAAGTATTTAGTACTAGGAAATATAAAGTCTAAATATAAAATTTCTTTTTTTTTTTTTTTTAATTTAAATTTTTTTTAAATACTTTTCAACCTCATGTAGCTTTACCTACTTCTCACCTGGTCAGCGAGCATCTGTTCTCTTTACACACAGCATGCACAGGAGTTTACAAGATCTTTCGTCATCACATTTCACTTCCTCAGTTCCCAGTGTTTTCTGCTGACTCGACCACCCTCTCCTTTCTCACTCCCTGACATCTGCTAGAGCCCATGGCCTCACTATTGCCAACAACAAATGATTTGCAATACCATTTCCAAGACTAAGCACATCAGATTCTTCTGTAAACAGTATCACTTTCCAAAATAACAGGGTGGGGGTGCACAAAGCACAGAATCAGGTCAGAATCTTTCACGGCAACTCTGTTGGCCTTTTGACCACAGACCACACACCTGAAACAAGCATTCATCCACCTCACATCGGCAGAGGAGACTTGACTTCAGAGTCAAGATCCACTCCTGATAATAAGAAAAACAACAAACAAAACAATGTATTTTCCTTTAAGCCAAATTTGTAAAGTCCACACTTTGAAGACTGCAAACTGACTCATGCAAAAGTGCAGTAGGGTACACAGAGTATTTCTGCAGTAACCTGATTACTCAGTCACTAAGATGGTGAGATAGTTTACCAGGGATAACTTAAACCCTGTTCCACACACTCAATGGGCTCTTTAGCACAGTTTTTACACTGAAAGGAAACGGAGCTTTTGCAGAGTCAAGTGAACAAAGGCTGAGAGCAGCCTCAGCAAAGGGGCTTACCCAGCATTCCACCAGCCACCAGGATGTCAAAAAGCGTTTCTGCATAGCGGCGATAGTCAAGTTTTGCACCAGAAGCATCAAGAAACTTTGCTACTGCCTCCAAGTCAGTGCCGGTTTCGCTTAAACCTTGAATAATACAGTCCTGGAACTGAGTAGGGTCAAACCTCTCTTTTTCATCTGTAAAGACAAAGCATTGAAATGAAGTTGCCACACAGAGCTGTTTAAAGTTTGTAATTTTACTTAAAAAAAAACACCACAAAAACAAACCCAAACTTGCACTGGCAAACCAGAAGTTAAACAGTCATTCCTGTCTTCTAAGGTAACTGCTATTAACTAGCACAAATAGCAACTTAACAGTGTAGCCTAAAATGAATTTCAACGGCCAATACAGCAGTAAGAAGTTTTACTGGATCAGCTACTTTCTGGGACAGATCCACAAAGCTTCCTGTTACTGCAGAATTGCTTGCAGGCCAAACTATGGTTAAATGATTAAAGCCAAACTATGGTGAAATGATTAAAAATTATTAAAAATGCTAGCATTTCATCTGCTGGACAGACTAAATCCAACTCTCTCACTTTCACAGTTTCTCAAGGTACTTTAACATTAAAATAGACTACTTTAACATTAAAAAAATATTTACTTTAACATTAAAATAGTATGTCCTTCTGTAGAACTTAATTACTATTTCAGTATCTACAGCATCCCTAGTGTTGTCAGTTTGAACTGGTACACACTACTACTATATTAAAACAACAGAAATAAACAGAAACTCTTAAGAGTGTCTCCACTTCCTCTTTAAGTTAAAGAAAACACCACCAAAACACTAAATTACTCATCAAACCTCTTCAATCATCAGCTCTGCTGATGGGAGTAACCGAGCACATACAGAGATAGCACTTGCACATCCCACACTTTGGGGTTTGTTTGTTTGGGGAGGGGGTGTGTGTGTGGTGGTGTTTTGGGTTCTTTTGTGTGGGGTTTCTTTTAAATTTAAATCAGATATTCTTACAGCATTAAGGGGACAATGTAACTTTTATCCAGCCGCTAATACTGAAATTTCTACTAGGTTAGATGCTCCTAAGGTGCACGTATTAACCTGCAACAAGGCTGTGCTGGAATTTCCCTTTAAGTGGGGGGTACCACATACTTCTGCTTTCGGGCTAAACACACTCAGTACGGTGTGAGAGCGACCGTCTCTTAAGCCAAGGTTATCTGAGTAAGTTCGGCTACAATTCTTACTGCCAAATATTTTTTTAATCAGCCCAGAGAACATTCTAGCACCCAGAGCCAGCCTCAAGACTGTGTGTTTAGTGTGGTCTCATTCAGAAGGTCTATGAGAAGCGCATAAAGGCGTTAGTTTGTTCACTGACAGAGCGCTGCAGCAGGGCCCGGGCGGGCAGCACGGGCAGCGGGTACCGGCAGCGAGCGCACCGCACCTCACCTCTTTTTCTGGTTTTAAAACGCTGGCCTGATAGCGTCGGCTTCTGCGGCTTTTGATTATTCATAAAAGACACCCTGCAAGGAAGCAGAAAGCCACCTCAGGCCACCGACCACGGGCCCTGCCCGCCCCACCGGCCGCTGGACGCCGGCCCAGCGCTCCCCGCCGCCCGAGGGCCCCCCGCCCAGGCCCCCCTCACGGCGGCCGCTCTGAATTAGCTTCATATCTTTCATGCACACAAAAATTTGGGAAATACAAGAGAACAACTGAAAACATTTTCAAACGACAAAATTTGCACATGCAATCTAAAGGCCTGTAGTTACCCAAATGGTGCAATTTAACTTCTCCTGACTAGAGCCTTCTTTGGTGCATACTCATCCATTTCAAGAATGGTCTCCCCTCCCCGGCCCGTCTCCTCACCGACTTTAAGGCAGAGAGAAAACGCCCGAGCGGCCCCGGAGCGAAGACGGGCGCGAGCGGCAGCAGGGACCGGCGGCGGCAGCAGCAGGGACGAAGGCTCTCCGGGCGGAACCAACGCGAGAGGAAGAGGGGAGGGCCGCGCTGCGCCCCGCCCGGGGCGGACCATCCCGCTCCGCCAGAGAGGAGGCGGCACAGCAGGCCGGGGGAAGGGTGCCGGGCGTCGCTGGGGCCGCTCGCTCCCAGCCGCCGGCCCCGCGCTGCGGAGTCCCCGGCACCTCAGCGGCCCTGCCCGGGGCTGCGCGTCTGACCCCTCTCCCCGCGAGTGGTCGCGTCCGCCCCCCGTTCGCCCTCGTGATTGACCGTCACGCGCAAGCAACGGCCCGCTTCCCCCCCGCGCCACCCGTCCGCGTGGATCAGTCCAGCGAGGGGAGCGCGGCGCCCCCTGGCGGCTGCAGGCGGCGTCCCCAGGGAGCCGCCCCGCCGCAGCCCCCGCGGGCGGGGTGCGGGGGTGTCCGGTGTGGGGTCGGGGTGTCCGGTGTGGGGTGGGGGCCGCCCCCTGGCCGGGTTTACCCTCCGGGGTGAAGCAAATCGATAACCAGCCGGGTTCCTGTGAAACGACTCTTTCTCAGCCCGCGCCACGTGCGCTGGTGGCCGGCGCGTGGGCCGCCATCACGTGCACAGCCCGTTTCCCGAACTGCGCGAGTAACGGTGTAATTTGGGTGATTTTTTTTGGTCTTTTTCCGAGTTAGTCATTAAATGTCCAACAGCGCATACAAGCGGGAAGGCCGTGCCGTGGGGCAGAGAGCAGAGGAGGCAGGGGCTGGTGGGGATGCCGAGGACAGCCTCGGGGGTACCCCAAGGGGTGAAAACTGGGGCCCATCAGCAGCAGAGGGAGTTCTGCTGTTGGCATCAGGATTTTTAACATTTCACTCCTCATCCAAGAACCATTTGCTCAGCAGAAACAGGAGTTTTGAAGGGGAAAATCCCGGGCAATATACTCTTTCCCATTGGTCAGGTTATCTACCAGGAGCTGTAAAGCTTCCTGCCAAAGTAAATTGACTGTTTTTTAGAGGGGCGGATGTCTTAATTGATTAAGCTTAGAAAAATCAGACTGGTAACACAGCTTTAGACAAAGCTTATGTCAAGACATTTTCCCTGTTCATTTAAATATTGAGCAACTGGCAGAAAATCTGCTAGCCCAGGCTCTAGTCTCACTTTCAAATGGATTAGATATTCCAGTTTCAGATTAGCCCAACTGTTCCCTACTATTTACTTGACGAAAATTGTATTTTCTGATCCCTCTGTGTGTCAGATTAATGTGTTAAAAGTTATGCCCAGAATGCCTGTTCTTTATTGCCATCTTGATTAGACTTCATGTTAGGTGCTATGCGAATATATATACATTATATACATAAAAAACACCCCATTCCAAAAGGCACATTTGACTGTTCTTACGCTTGTGCGTTCCTACAAATAAATCTGGTTTTCAGTAGCTATGAGAGCTGCTGGGTGTTTACGAGGCCTCTCTTATACGGGGAAGTTCTAGAAGCTCATGAGACTTTACTATCTTAAGCTCACACCCTTGCCGATACCATACCCGCTGCACGATGAGGCCCTACATTTGCTGTTACAGGTGTAATCATTTCTGCTTCCCTCAGATCCTGATGATGACATCACAGTATAAAGATTTCATGTATTCTAGCCAATTATCAGTTAAAAATGACTTCTGTCTGACATAGAACAATATTCCTGATTTCCAGAAGTGCAGGCCTTCCCTACTGGAGTTACAAGGTGGGTTCTTTCACTAGCAATTAGAACACCAGGTCTCACCCTGTCTGCAGGCTGTGGAGCAGTCTATCAGCAGTCAGCACAAACAAACCCAGCGTGTTAGTGTACAGCCTTCAAGTACTGTCTGAAAAACAAATGCTGCCAAACTCACACAGCAGCACAGAAGTGGAGATGTCTACAAGACTGAATATAACACCATGGAACACACTCAGTGCAGTCACAACTCGGCTCTTTGCTCCCCAAAAGGGCAAACCGCTAAACTCACCCCAGGATTGCAAGTTTCCCTCTAGACCTTACACAGCTGCCAAATTTCCACCAGGTGTGAAGTGTAACGTTCCTTTGACTAAAGCTCCTGAAATGACCAGTTAGCAGGTGCATGAACAGAGTGAGTCACTGTGCTTCAGGAGGGGAAAGTGGGGTCACCTGCACAACCGTGACTTTTTAATTAAGGTCAGCTCCAGCCCAATTTCATCTTTATCCCAACAAACCACTTCCTTGGCTATTTTCTTTTCTTTTGTCTTGTCTGGCCTGACAGAGAGGTTGTCACACCTCTCAGCTAACTTGTAATTTTTCAGAGGAAAGCAAGAAGTGTTGTCCTTTGGTGTTCTTATGCAGTGTTCTAAGTGATTGGCATCAGCCACTCAATCTGGGCAACACACCAATTCTGGTCATTTTTTTTCAGTAGTGATTCTTTGAAAACCTTATCCTTGAAAATACCTGTTTAGGAAAGCGAATAAGTGTTCCTCATCTGCCCATACGAGAGGTAGAAGAGATTACATTTAAAGACTAGAAAAAAAGAATCTTACCTTTTATCCACACAATCCTTTTTTTCCAAGCAGAACTGGTTGGCTTGCATTTGATCCCGCTGTCTTATTCAATTGATTAAAGTCAGCTGTATCTCCAGTGAGGCTGCTTACCTCCCGCTGTCTCATCTTGCCTGGGCTACAGGCGCTGCAAAATGGCCCAACCCAGCATTCATTTAGTTACACTGCTCTTGCAGGTTAAAACCAGAGTAAAACCTGGACATAGTTAAGATCAATGTTTTGTTCATTCTACAAGGCAGATACACACTGGGTATGCAAAACCTGGAAAGCCTTAAAAATAAGGAAAAAGTAAGCCTGTGCTTGCCACGTATGGACACATGAATGTGGAAACGAAACCACCATCCCTTCTGGAGCTAGAGAGCTTGTAATTGCATCTGGAAATAGAATACAATTTATCTCAGTTGTACAAAATGACTCTTCTGTGCTTATAAGAGGCTTAATTACAATAAATACAATTTCTTTAGATGAGCATGTTAGGGGCTGCATCAGCCCGACAGAGGTGAGTTTGATGCAGCTCTGTTCCCCCAGGTCCAACCAGTAGCAAGGCTGGGAGTGTATTCTCAACAAGCCAACATGTAAACACATGTGTAGAACACCTACACGCATAAACACAGCTGCCCACGCAGGTCAACACAGGCAGAAACACCCCGCACTCATGGAGACACAGCAGCACCAATGGCCTCATCCTGGTCCCCTCTCTGACTGATGAGCATGAGGGTCTCTCAGTGGGAAATGTGTGTATAAATACACACACTAAGGACCCTCCAGTAATTAGCCTTAGACACTCAGTCTGTCCAGTCCCAGACCTCCCCCCTTGCTGTCACCTCTACATAAGGCCCCCCAGGGCCCACAGCCCCACTCCAGCATCTCTGTTGCACCAAAGTTCATTGCTGCAGCAGATGAATGGCACAGCACCAGCCTCGCCAACTCACACGTTTTGAACTTTAAGCTCAAACACAGGTCATTCGTATTGCCAGTAGGAGCCAGATTTCAACTCACCCATTTTCAGTGCTATTTTGTCCTTGAAACAACACTGGTTAAAGGTCACAGTGTCACAGAAGAGCAGAGCAGTGCCTTACAAGTTTGCTTTTATTAAAGATATATTTAAGCAAATTCCACTTAACAGCCCAATGAAACCAGAGGGAAGATTTTCACCTTAATATTTGCAAACACTTGTTCATTCATTCTGTGCTCAAGGCACTGATTGCTTTAGTACTCATTCAAAAATAAGAGTATTTGTCTACATCACAATTAAATAAAAAGCCAAAAAGATAAATCACAGATTGCAACAAACTCATTTAAAGAAAGAAACACAAAGACATGATAGTTCTTGCTGTCAGCTCCTTGAAGTCTTTGGTATTACAAAATTGCAAAGCATATTGCCAGCTGAGTTTTTTCTATTAGCTGTAGTCTCTCACAATTTACTAATAGGAATGAACAGGAAAACCATACCAACATAATAGCAATTTCCTCATTACTTGTAATATTAATTTGTGTGTAAAGGAATAAAATTTTGTTGTACCTCTATGGATTTTGATTAAATATGACTTATTTGAGGGCGTGTGCACATCACCCTCTCTTCTATACTATGCTAATTTAAGCCTGCACTCTCACCCTTAAAATAAATGAAAATAGTCTAGATTTATGTTTTTGTAAATGAGTACAGGATCTGAACTGATGCAATACCCATTGAGTATCTCCAGGGTTATTTCTTATGCTAGTGTTTTGGGTACACAATGATGTTGTCAAATGAATTCTTACTGTTAATTTTATTGCTTTGAACTATCAGACATGAAAGTTGACTATTCATTTGTACACATACCTGTGTTGTCTCAGCTCAGCCATTTCCTCTTCTCCCTCTCAAACACCTTTGCACTTGCTTTTCAGTCTCCTCTCCTCGTAGGGAAATGCTCCATTAAGATTCACACAGCTGCCACTGCACCACTTTAAAACCTCCTTTCTAAAACAATGTCCGTCAGAGTGTCAGTAATGTTGTTTGGCACAGCTGAGTTAAACTGTGAGCTGACACACCTATTTCTAATGATGAGCTTCTATTGTCATTGTTTCCTCTCAGCCCTGTTCCTCTCTACCTTTTAATCTCAGTCACCTGCTGCACTTCTGGTTTGCATACCTGGTGATGGTTGCAATGGGCAACCCCATTTCTAAATGAATGTTTTAGATAAAAAGAGCATGAGGTTTTACAGGTGCGGTGGTCTGTCCCCCTATATCTTTTCTCACTAATCTATGTAATCCCAGAAATCTTCACCTCTGTTAAGAACTTCACCCAAAGCTGGTAGTGGGAACACGTCCTGCTATTTAATCCTTTCTGCCTGCAGTACATCTCCCTCACCTTGTGCCCTTTCCTTACCTACAGGTGAATGTGTCAGCTATGTTCTACCTCACCATTTTGCTCAAAAGAAGCAGCAAAATTGTGGGTAAAGCAAAGGAGAGGAGGACTGACCACTAACAATGTAGTGAATAGCAGTGATTATACTCCAGCTCTGAGAGAGGTCAAAGTTGATAG